TACCCCAGTGGGATGAGTCACCTGCCCTGTTTGCAAAAATCGGGGCGGGGCAGAGGGGCTTTTTTATTTCCCCTCTCACAGGACAGTACATCTTAGCACCCGCTTCCCAGGGCTGTGTCATTAAAGGCACAGGGCATCCCCATGCCTAGCTACGGCAGCTCTTCCCTATCTGGTACAAGGTACTGAGGTGCTACAGGAGAAAATATTTTACATACACCCCCAAAAAACTACGTGTCACAAATCTGGAGTATTTAAAAGAATCCCTTAGCTGAGTCTTTGCTACCGCTGGATCAGAGGATGATAAAAGTGAGAGGTAGCAAACTGGGACAGGGCAGCAAAAAGAACCTCCCTAGATGTCAGTAACTGCTACTGGCAGCAAAATCTGTTGGTAGTGGCTTTTGACATTACACCCTGGCAACCTCAGAGTAGCGCCACAGAGCTGCCCTGTCCACAGCCAGGCCGTGTAGAGGGTTAGGCTGACAGCCAGGTCTGCGTGGGACTGGCTGGGAGGGAACACTCCCAGTGACTGGCATGTTCAGGTAAAACCGACGAGCCCCAAAGCAGGAAGGGGTTCCCCCATGCTGAAGCCAGGATCCACACTGCCCATACTGCCAAACACCCCCTTGGGCATCCACATAGCACGGGGCTCAACCCCATGCTCCCCACATCAACTGTAATCTCTGTACCTGGAACTGCAGGAGACACCCAGATTGTGAGAGCACCTATAGAGATCAAGTACTCTGAGGCTGATCCCCAATGGTTACCAGTGGCAGTGTACATTTTGAATGGCATCTCATGCTCAGCCAGCCCCATCCCAGAGGCTGGCAGTGCGGAGGCACATGGCTGCTGCTATTTATAGCCTGCCTCTGCTTAACCTCACAAAGAATTGCTAATTCACTGCCATATTTGCGCAGCAAACTCCAAGCCTGCATTTAATTAATCTATTGTTATTGTAGGGCCTACCTCAGATATAGATGTTTAAATTACAAGACTGTGGAGTGGCTGGCACAGAGTGTTTGGACTGAAGTAAGCAAGTGGCCCGGAAGGCCAAGCAGGAATTTTCCAGCCTCTATACTGATTTCACTCTAAGGACCCCTCTAGTGTTCTCAAGTGGGTACTGAACACTCTCACCCCTGCTCTATTCCGATTTCATCAGAAACAATGGCTATGTCATGTTACGATGATGCTGATGCTGAATTTATATTGTAGTGGTGCCTAGACACCAGCCAGGTCAAGGCTCCACTGTGCTAGGCGCTGTACAAACATATAGAAAGTGACAATTATACATGGGGTTTGCTTTAGAACACTGCAGCAATGAATGTTGATGGTAGGTTCAACCTCTGGAATGGAAAAAAATGTGAACTGGTGCTCAGACACTAGGGTAATGGGTGCAGTATGTAGCAGGAATCATCACAGATTGATGGATAGATAGTTAGTGTAATGCTGATTATTTTTTTAAAAGGCTCCAGAGGCAATTCCGGCAATTACAGGCTGGTTAGCCTAACTTCAGTACCAGGCAAATTGGTTCAAACTATAGCAAAGAACAGAATTATCAGACACACAGATAAACACAATATATTGGGGAAGAGTCAACGTTGCTTTTGTAAAGGGAAATCATGCCTCACCAGTCTATTAGAATTCTTTGAGGGGTCAGCAAGCATGTGGACCAGGGGGATCCAGTGAATATAACGTACTTGGACTTTCAGAAAACCTTTGACAAGGTCCCTCACCAAAGGCTCTTAAGCAAAGTAAGCTGTCCTCGGATAAGAGGGAAGGTCCTCTCATGGATCAGTAACTGGTTAAAAGATAGGAAACAAAGGGTAGGAATAAATGGTTAGTTTTCACAAAGGAGAGAGGTAAATAGTGGGCATCCCAAGCATCTGTACTGGGACCAGTGCTGTGCAACATATTCATAAATGATTTGGAAAAGGGGGTGAACAATGAGGTGGCCAAATTTGCAGATGACAAAGTTACTCAGGATAGTTAAGTCCAAAGCTGACTATGAAGAGTTATAAAGGGAACTCACAAAACTGGGTGACTGGGATACAAAATGGCAGATGAAATTCAGTGTTGATAAGTACAAAGTAGTGCACATTGGAAAAAATAATCCCAACTATACATATAAAATGATGGACTCTAAATTAAGAGATCTTGGAATCATTGTGGAAAGTTCTCTGAAAACATCCACTCAGTGTGCAGCAGCAGTCAAAAAAGGTAATTGAATGTTAGCAACTATTAGGAAAGGGATAGATAATAAAACTGACAATTTCATAACACCTCTATATAAATCCATGGTATGCCCACAGCCTGAATACTGCATGCAGTTCTGGTCATTCCAGTTAAAAAAAAAAAAAATAGAATTGGAAAAAGAAGAGAGAAGGGCAACAAAAATGATTAGGGGTATGGAACAGCTTCCATATGAGGAGAGGTTAAAAAGACTGAAACTGTTCAATTTAGAAAAGAGATGACTAAAGGGGGTTATGATAGAGATCTATAAAATCATGAGTAGTGAAGAGAAAGTGAATAGGGAAGTGTTATTTTCCCCTTCGCGTAATACAAGAACTAGGGGTCATCCAATGAAATTAATAGGCAGCAGGTTTAAAATAAATAAGAGGAAGTGCTTCATAAAACCCACGATCCACTCATGGAACTCATTGCCAGGGGATATTTGTGGAGGCCAAAAATATAACTGGGTTAAAAAAAGAATTAGATAAGTTCCTGGAAGATAGGTCCATCGATGACTGTTAGCCAAAATGGTCAGGGATGCAACCCCATGCTACAGGTGTCCCTATGCCTCCAACTGCCAGAAGCTGGGACTGGACAACAGGGGATGATCACTTTATATTTATCATGTTCTACTCATTCCCTCTGAAGCATCTGGCATTGGACGCTGTCAGAAGACAGGCTACTGGGCTAGATGGACCATTGGTCTGACCCAGTCTGGCCGTTCTTATGTTCTAACTGGGTTCATCTGCTCACCTGAAATGCCCAATCCTTGGGAGAAGTAGAACTGGAACTGGAGTCTTGGACCCCAGTAAGATCAAGGCACATGTGTCACAAGGAATGATCTAAGGAGCTCTGACATGCACATCTTCCCTGTTGGGCCTCCAGGAATGTGGATCCTCCTGCCTTCATCAGCTAACTCTAGTGGCCTCTTGGGGTAGGAGGAAGCTGCACGCTAGCCCAGGGCCAGCCCTCTACAACAGGGTGAGGCCAACAGGGAGATCTGGGATTGTTCTGTGCCAGGGACTAGGCTGCGTTTCCTCCACAGGAGTTTGTGGCAAGCTGTGTGGTTGATCCTGTGAATCTCCCTGCTAGCCCCACACATGAGGTGTCCCAAGGTCAGATAAGCTCACTGCCATACCCGCATTGCAGAGAAAGGAGGGGGAGCATGTCTAGAGCAGGAAGATGAGATTAATGTCCACCCCAGCTGAGTCCCCCATTTAATACTGAATGAAATCCAAGGTCCTGGCCCTGATCCTTAGAACCCCTGATGAACTGGGGTCCATGTACCTAAGAGACCAGCTCTTCAGTTCTGACACCCACAGCAGCACTGCTGCAGAGGACAGAGCCCGAAGCGACACTGTGCAAGGGAGAGGAGCCCTGGGTGATGGGACTCCATGCTAGAAGGAAACAGTTTGAGTCTGAACTCAACCGATTTGCCCCAACCATCCCCAATGACAGGGGCTGGCTTGCTAGCACAGAGGGAGAAAGGAGAGAGATTATCAACACTCTAGCAAAGGGAGAGCAGCTGGACTAAGAGCAGGGGGAAGCCAGGGCAAAGGCAAGCAGAGGGTCTGTGATGCTCAACTCTGTATGGGATCTGGACACCATGGGGAGGGAGGAACTAGAGCCATCCAGCTGGCTGAATGAACAAGGGGTGGGCCGGGTGGGTGGTAGTGTGTTGTAGGTGGGCGGTAGTGTGTCGTAGGTGGGCTGCGTTGGGAAGGAAGTTGTCTCAATGCAGTGGGCCTGTGATGCGGGACAGCCCTGACCACCCAAAGTCAAGCCAAAGTGGAATAGCCTGGGGCTGTAGCTGCTCAGTGCAGCATCTCCTGTGTGAGTAAGGGCTGGGACTGGCAGCTAAAGAGTTAACCTTTCCGCATGAATCTGGAGCTATTAATACCCGCACACTGGTTTATCTGTCAGAGCGAGCTGGCTGCTCTGTCATCCAGACAAGCCCCGCAGAGCTGTGTCTCGGCAGGGCCAGAACTTTTCTTTGTGCGAGCTCGCATGTACCCGCCAGCCCGGGCTGCTCCCCCAGCCCCGGCTCCAAACGCTGTCACGGAGTTCCACTCCCCCACGCACACTGCTCCCCTCCCGCCCCACGGAGCCGCCAAGAGCCACGGCTGATGCTGGCTGATGAGAAGATCGGAGGGAAGGGGAAACTTTCCCAAGGGCAGATCGTGCTGCAAAGTCCAGCTGAGGCTGAGCGCAGGGCACTGAGGATCTGCCTTTGGGCACCAGCGCCCTCCATGCTGGAACAGCGACAGCAGCTCCACTGATCCAGCCACAGGATGAGATCCAGCACCAGCCCCTGGAGATGGGTGGCCAAGTTCCCACACTTCTGCCTTTGAGGAACAGCGGGATGCTTTGGGGTCTCTGTGCTGGTGCGTCCTCCCCAAACTCCTCAGCTCAGGTTCTTCCACCTCAGGCTACAGACTGAGCCCTCCTTGTCCTTCCCCAGCTGCCCAAGGAGGGAGTTCTTCTAAGGGGACAGCCCCATCTTGTCCCACAAAGAGAGCGCGACAGCAGTGGCCCCAAAGATGGCCATCAATGGGAGCGAGAGTGCAGGGTCCCGTCTGGCTGCTGAGTGAGGACGGCGTGGGACAGGAGTCACAACAGCTGGGTGGGATCGTGCTGTCCCAGCGCATGCCCAGTCAGACGGGCCGAGGGCACAGGATCACCTCAGAGGGCGCAGGGCAGGGGGAGCCGCGACCTCTCCCTGTCAGAAGGAGCAACGGGTAATTTAGGAGACAAAACACACGATGACGCTTCCCGGCAACTGGTCCAGGAGACTGAGGACCTGCTGACTCTGGCTTCACTGGCCTCCGGGCAGACTGGTGAGGGGCAAGAGGATGCCAACACCTATGCAACGTGCCCGAGCCTGGAACTGCCCCCACTGTGGTGCACTGGCTGTGGGAGCAAGGAAATGGATACCTTCTGCTTCGTCTGCTTCCAGAAAGAGGAGCTACAGCCCTTGCAAATGAACAGGTCAGTTCAATACTGCCTGCTCTCCCTCCCTCCCTCCCCAGCACCCAGGGCCAGCGAGGGGCTGGGGCCTTGAGTCACTCAGAGTTTGGGCAGGGAAGGGCTTCTGGGCATTCTCTGAAGGAGGGGTGTGGGCCTACATGTGGGGAAAGCCAATGGGACTGCCCAGCTGATCTAGGGAGGGGATGCGTGAGTGTCCCGGGGGCAGCAAGGCCAGCTCACAGGGCGTTGCCCAGGAACGGGCCCATAAACCTTACTTTGTCAAAAGTTTCTCTCAAGCAAGTGCCCCGTCTTCCCTCAGGATGTGGCTTCAAGCAGCTGGGACCTGGGTACCTTTCCAGCTGGAACGGGGGAACCTGCAGTATAGGGGAGAGAAGGGAGAGGTGTGTATGTGTACACACGTCTATGCGAGGGCATGTCAGAGTGCGTGTGTGTGAACATCTCTGTGTGTGTGCACATCCAGGCTGTTTGTACAGAGCTGCCTGCGTGGGTGTGTCTGTCTCTGGCTGTCTGGGGGTACACAAGTGTACATCTGGGGAGCACTCACGTTCAGGCATGCGGGAGTGTGTTTGTGGACAGGTACATCTCTGTCTCGGTGCCCACGTGTCTATCTACGCATCTCCTTGCCATGGGGTCAGATGTTGGAACAGGAGCCCAGCTCTGGGTGTGGCAAACTATGCCGGTCCTATGTGGAATTTATCTAATGCAACAAGTATCAGTGAGTGTTGCCTTTCCTGTGTGTCTCAACGCCTTCCCGGAGGCTGGGACAGTGATCCCTATTCAGGGCCTGATCCTGGGGCATCCCTGGCAAAGTGGCACCTGGGTATTCAGAGGTCCTGAGCCAACCCCTTCCTCAACCCAGGACTGTATCAGCTTCTCCTCCTGCCATTCGCAGTGCCCAGGCAGACAGACCTGAAACCAGGGGAAGGGCTCTGGCCAGCCCCTTCTCCTCCATGCAGGTCCCAGCAGTCTCGCATGGAACCTTTGCAGGGGTGACTGTGCCCGCTTGTTGATTAGACCCAACCCAGTGTTCCCCCGGCCTCACCCTTCCTCCACACTGAAGCCTATAGTCACTTGCCCCCCTCTTTGGGATGTGCCTTTTCCCTGGGGGCAACTCCTGCAAAGCAGTGCCCACTGGGCTGTGCCACGCGGCTCTGCTCCTCTACGCTGCAGCCTGGCTTCAGCACTGCCCCCTCTGCCAGTGATGCAGATGGCATTGTCTGCTCAGCCCCCTATGCCACTCTCCAGCCTGCGCTGGCTGTCCTGGAAGGTCCTGGCCTCAGGTGGGGTCAGGTGGGTTACTGAGGGAACGACTAGGTCTGTGGTGCCGGCTTGCTGACATAGCAGAAGTCAGGATGTGTTTCCCAGGGTACTGTGGATGCATGTTATCTGCCAGGCTAAGTGTATTCCAGACAGCTCCAGCCTTAGCTTCTCCAGGTGTGGTGATTGCTCATTGTGGATTTACCTGGTGGCAGGTGCAGCTTGGTAGGAGATGGGTGAAATGCAGCCTCCTCCAGGCTGGGATGCAGCAGCCGCTGTTTCACAGAGCACAGCCAGCTAGGACAGGAAGTGAAGAGACCATAATCATTTGCAGCAGGCTTTTAGGAAGGTGGAGTATAATCAGTCCCAATTAGATCTGGGCCAGGTTAACCCTCTCTTCCCTTGTGAAAAGCGCCGCAGGACCCTTAACCACTGCATGTGACTGAGGCTGGAGTTTCCCATCTTACCCACAGTGCCCCATAGGTATTGGACCAGTACTGATTCAGGGGCAGGAATCCGCAACCCTTCTGATGCCCCTAGACTTTCCTCCGAGGTCTCCCATCTAAGGGCTGGGCAGGCCCTGCCCTCCATAGCAGGGGAGAGGGGAGGAGAGCCTTGCTCGAGGTGGCGAAGATAAAGCACCAAGCAGCAGAATGGAAGCAAAGCTGGATTATGGGTAGCAATTAGCATCCTGCTTCTGCAGGGCTTGGTGTCAGGACCTCTGTTCCATGCCTGCATGCACTGTGCTCCAGCAGGCCCCACTCTGTGTGCAAGGGGTCCCCAGGCTGCAGCACTAGGGGGTGGGGATCCTTCAGCGCACACAGCTGGACCCGAGAGTATAACCTGGCCCATCCCAGGAAACAGCACCCCCTACAGGCAGGGCCCCGGGATTCATGCCAGCCTGGAGGAGGGGGCAGGGCAGCCCAGGAAGAGGGCTGCTCCTGGCCAGACAGTGCTCAGGGGACAGAGGGAAGCAGGGCTAGCCAGCACTGTACTGCTCTGTGGCTGGGAGGAGGAATAAGGTCCTGCCAGGTCCATTGCCTACTCGGGTTGTTAGGACTTACAGGTGACCTGCCCATCAGGCCTTGTGCTGTGGGGCCCAATCAGCGGGGACAGAGATGTTGGGCACAGAGGTGTTATCCTGCGGGTGCCGCTGCATGTTCACAGGTGGCCTCTAATTATTGAGGCACTAATTTTCAGTGCCTATGCGAGACCCCTGGTTTTCAGAGGCACTGAGTGCCCACAGGGCACATTGACTTCAGTGTGGGACCTGGAAGCTCAGGCCCTGGCCCCAGCCCCTCAGGCCCTGGGCACCCAGCACGCACCAGGCTGAGCCATCACAAAGACCGCACAGCCCCTGATAGAGTCAGCACCCCCCTGCACAGGTACACAGCAAAGCTACAGCAAATGGAATAGCCCCTCTCCCCGGGCAGCTCCGGGCCCCACCCAGCTTCTCCACAGGATGCATGCTGGGCCCACCGCTTGGGATCTGGAGTGGGCTGGCCACAGCTTTGGGGGTTCTAGAGTGAATTAGCTGTAGATTGTATCCCCTCTGCTCCTCCCCCTCACCCGCTGCTCCCCCCAGCACAGAGACTGCACTGCTGGATGATGGCTGCTGTTCATTGTCATTGTCAGATTCCAGCAGTGCCCAGGGCTCCAGCTGAGATCAGTGCCGCACTGTGTTTGGGGCTGCGACAGAGTCCCTGCCCTGCCCTTACAATCTCAACAGACAAGCCAAACGGAGGGGGCAGAAAGGAGGGGTTGTTATTCCCATTTCATGCTGGGGACCTGCAGCCCTGAGAGACTGGGGCTGTGTTTCTCTCCAGCCAACGGAACGCCATTAGCCTCCCCAGAGCTTCTCCCAATCTACGCCAGCATGACTGAGTCCTAAGTGACGTGGCCAAGGTCAGGCAGGAAGTCTGGCCCCTGGTCTCCTGAGTCCTGGCTTCCCCACCAGCCCCAGCCGTCCCATTCCCCACTCCTGAGCTGCATCCTCTCCAAAGCACTACCCCGGCTCCTTCCCGTCCCTAGGGTTACCTTCCCCTCCCTTGCCCAGGGTCACTGCCCACGGCTTTCCCTTTCCATCTCCAGGTGCTTTGCCACCCCATGGGGCATAGTCTGATCCCCTGTCCACATTGCAATCAGAGGAGTTACTCTGGGTCAATTCCCGTGGCAATGAGATCAGAATCGGGACCCGTTCATGTTAAGATGGTGATAAATGGGGAGTGGAGGGGCGGAAGGAAAGCGCACAGCTGGCTTTCTGGCCAGAACCCGGTTCTGCTCTCTGTGACACTGCTGTTAACCCAGAAAGAGTGAGGCTGCTCCAAACAGACCCAGGGTAGGTGTGTGGCTTCCTGGCCTTGCAGAGAGCTAGTCACAGGCTGGGGGGGGGGCTCCCTGTGAGCAAGCGCTGGGCTTGGGGGTATCCCTTTCCTGGAGGCTCTGGCACTCCCCTCCCTTGTACTTTCCACTCTGCTGCTTTGGGAATTGTTCTTCCCCCCCCCCCCCGACTGGCAGCCAAGCCACGTGCCCCAGCTCCCCAGTCCCCAAATTAGCGAACCAGATGGCGGGGATGCAAGGTGCGAATGCAGGCATATGCCTTCTCCAAGCTGCTCCTCCCAGGCAGCAAGACTCACTGGCTGCCAGGAGCTGAGCAGGACCAGGTATATGTGGGGTGGGGGCATCCTTCCCTCCCCCCACCATGGGAGCTGGCCTACAGCCTGCCATTTCCCTTTAACTCCCCCACCCCAGCATGCCTGCTCCTCCCACAACGGTCTGCGGAGGGGACAGTCACTGAACCAAGGCTCACTTCTACCTGGGGGCAGGGGGGCAGCTCCAGTCTTTCTGCGTCCTTCAAGTGACATTGGCCCCTCTCCAGTCTGCATGGGATTGGGGGCTGCATCCCTTTATTTTCATCACTTTGCTGCTCCATTTCCTCAGGCTCTTGGCTGTCATTCCCCCTCAACACCCCTCCCTCCCCCCGACTAAGGAGGAGACTTTGTGCCCATAATGTTGGGGAGCTATTGGCACTGGCAGGAATCAGCACTTTCCCCCACCCACACCCCGCTCTGCCGGTGCCCCTCAATCCTGACCCGCAGCCTCTGGCTACTCCAGGCCTGCCTTCCCCACCCTCCCTTCTTCCAATGCTCCTCACTCATGAGCTGCAGCCCCCTGCCTATCAACCCAGCGCCTTTCACCACCATGACAAGCCCTGGGCCTGGGAGATCTGAGTCTGGGAGAGCATTGCCGCATATCAGTAACACATCTCGTGCTCTGAGGTTGTCTGCGGGGAAGGTCACTTGGCTCCGGTGCTGGGGCTCAATGGGGCTAAGCTGAGGGCGGCCAGCTCCCTGCCAGCCCATGCAGGAAAGGGCACAGCAGTGGCAGGGCTGAGTCTGGACTGTTTGCTTGTTTCTGATGAGGCGCCAGGAGAAATGTTGAGCTCTGCGATGCAGGCGAGTGGAAGGGTCACACGCCCTCCGCTGCAGCCTTGGGTCCAGAGTCCTTACTCCAGCAGGCGACTGCAGCCACTTTCGCGCTGCTCGCCCTGGCCCATCCGCTGGGCGCCATGAGCTGACTGAGAGTTTCTGAAACCTCCCCAAGGGCACCACTGTCAAGGTATTTGTTGGGCTCTTTAGACAGCAGGGGATGTAAAGAAACATCTGCCCTTCTCCAGCGGCTCGATGCTGAGATGCCCAGCCCTGCTGGGAGATTCACACTTGGCGCAGGCTACAACCAGCTGG